CCATCCTCAGAATTTCAATATTTGTCCCTTTAAATGTCCTGTGGTTTCAAAGAAAGGCAAATGAAAATGTTCTCTACATTTCAGATTAAAAACTTTTTTGTTCTCTGAAATATAGAGCAAATATCTGTGAACAACCAGCAACTAGCAAACAAAGAATATGCGAGAAAGCGGAACTTCGCCCAAAAAGGTAAGTTCCGCTTGTCTGCCTCCTCCACTACCCCTTTACGTTTTGGCAGTTTGTTTTTTATTTTTTTGAGGGGGAGTGGGTACCTGGTTTCCTACTTCCGGTCATTTCACTGCGGCAATCCGAGAGGCAGTTCGCCCCCCTTCCCCCACAGCCTTCTGGGATACATCACAGATCCCAGAAAGCTGAGGGACCATTCACATATACGCAGCGGGAACCTGGCTGAGAAGCTGCAAGCGGCACTTTGCTGGTGCCTGGACCTGAAGAGCCGGCTCGGGTGAGGACAGCGCTGGATCCCTGGACAGGTAATTGTCCTATTATTAACCGCTCCTGCAATGCTCCCGTTTTATATACATGAGCTGAACGGGAGCATTGCAGGAGTGGGTGGCCGTTTATAAACATCCTCCCCGCCTGTCGCTCTGGGACCGTGCGGCACCGCGATCCGTTGCCCGCTGAACACCGATCGCTGTATGGAACCTCTGTGTGAGGTCCCGATCATGTGATCACTGATTGGCCAATGGATCAGAAGTTGGTTGACTCCATGCAACACAGATGTACAGCAGTTCTCAGAAACAGTGCGACTACAACCAAATATTCATGAAGTCATTCAAAGGAAAGCAAAATCTTCAAACATTTTTCAGTTTATATAGTGAATGTTTGAGGTTGTAAAGAAGAATACAAACACTGCCATTTTTTTGAACCGTCTAATATTCACTTTTCTTAAATTTTTTTAGAGGAACAACACAAATTTGATATATTTTTCTTCATGTTTTGATTTGGAATAGAATGTGTCGTGTTCCCAATGCATTTGTGTGGATGGAAATAAAAGCTATTAGAAGGGTTTTGAGCTTTATTCACTTTTTTCAACACACTGCTATTATTTTGAACACAACTGTATGCCCATGCAGCCACTGTGTCTGCATCCACCTCTATAGGCTGCCTGTACACAGGATATAGGTGTCCGTTTATGACACAGAGAATAGCTGCGATTCAACAGATCTCAGCTATTCTCTGGTCATTCACAGTTTATAACACTCAGGAGATCATGTTCAGCCCTTCGCTGGAGATCTGTGTTCTCCCTCCAGATTCTCCAGCCCAGAGCTGGAGAATCGGAGGGACCGCAAACTAAGCAGAGATAATTTACCTCTGCTTAGTAAACTGATCTTTTACTGTAATCTCGTGAGATTATAGTAAAATCAGCCATTTTCCAGAGTTTGGGGACCGTTCTCCAGCGTTTGGAGATCGTTCTCCCTTCGTTTGGAGAACTGCTTCATAAACTGCATTCACAGGAAAACTGTGTTCTCCGAGAATGCCGGAGAACTGAGCAGCAATCTATTACCGCTGGTTCATAAATGGACACCATACTCACAGAAGATATCTGCTCAGCATGCACAATGGGTGTCAATGCCCATCTGAATGAGCGCTAAAGTGGACCTGTGGCTTTGCTCTGCATTTGTACAGTAAATCAATGGTTGACTTTAACATTCTCTATTCCTTTATTAAATAGGCCCCCAGTACCTCTGTAAAAACAGTTAAATATATTTTGCTTGCACCTGCTGAATAAGTGGTTTAGGAGTGTGGTTAGGGCTCGTTCTCATAGCTGGGGAGGGACGTTTGATTCCTGCAGGAGTTACTTTACATTAGGCTGTGGTTTCTGTGTTACAAAGTAAACTGGATATCAGTTTATTCTAGATACTACAGGTATCCTACATATCTCCTGAACCAGAAATACTATGTCAAAAATGTCCCCATGTGTCATTCTGCAGATCGTCCAGGGGCGTCCCTAGGGTTGGTGTCACCCGGTGCGATAACACTTGGTGACACCCCCCCTCCGACGATCACCGCAGAATAGATTGGATCTGCGGATTGAGCATAATGGATCGGACTCCAATCCATTATGCTCATTCCGCAAATCCGATTCATCCTGCGGGGATCGTCGGCTTTCTTTACAACTCACCTTTTCGTGGAGCGGGTCCGGGGTCACCCCGAATAGGTTGCATGCTGAAGATGGATCGGATCTGCGGATTGGGGAGCATAATGGATCCGACTCTGATCCGTTATGATCAATCCGCAGATCCGATCCATCCTGCGGGGATCGTCGGCTTGCTTTACAACTTACCTTTTTGTGGAACAGGTCCGGTTTCACCCCGTGGGGTAGGTGTCACCCGTTGTGGTGCGCACCCCTTGCACCTGCCTAGGGATCGTCTATTCAAAGCTATACTAACTTCTTTGTATATTAAAAAGTAAAAGATGACAGAGGGCATAAAATATTTATTGATAGCATTGCTGTACAATATCTTCATTTAAAGGGGCCTACAAATAAAGACTTTTTATCTAGAATGCCAATGGCCATTTTTAGAGGATGCTGTGCAGATATGCGGTCAAAGTGTAGTGACCCTCTGTGGACAAACATTTGTCATCTAGGGCCAGTGCATTAAAACATTGTTTGGACCCCCAAAGGTCAGTATGTCATTGTTCTGGGACCCCAAGGATTAGTGATCCATTGCTGTGGGACTCAAAGGGTTCATTTGTCATTGTTTTGGGACCCCAAGGGTTAGTGCAACATTGTTCTGTGTCTCCTAAGTGACAGTGTGTGATTGTTTTGGGACCCCATGTATCAATGTGTCTTTGTTCTAGAACCCCCTTGGTGGGTTTGTCATTGTTTTGGAATCCCATTGGTGGGTGTGCCATTGTTTTGGAACCCCATGGGCGGGTGTGTCATTGTCCTAGAAGCCCAAGGGTTAGTGCATCATTGTTCTGTGACTCCTAAGTGACAGTGTGTGATTGTTTTGGGACTCCATGTATCAGTGTCTTTGTTCTAGAACCCCATTTGGGTTTGTCTAGAACCCCATTGGTGGGTTTGTCATTGTTTTGGAACCCCATTGGTGGGTTTGTCATTGTTTTGGTCCCATTGCCATTGTTTTGGAACCCCATTGGTGGGTTTGTCATTGTTCTGTTTGGAACCCCAATGTGTCTTTGTTCTGTAGAACCCCATTGGTGGGTTTGTCATTGTTTTGGAACCCCATGGGCGGGTGTGTCATTGTTCTGAAAACCCCAAATGTCAATGTGAAAAATTGAAAAACAAAAAAAAGAAAGTGAGTACTAAATTGTAGCTGTTCATCGGGACTAATGTGTGTAATTGTTATAGGACCCCAAGTGTCAATGTGCCATTATTTTGGGGCCCCAAGTGTCAGCGTACCATTGTTCAGGGACCCCAAAATGTCAGTATGTCATTTTTCTGGGATCCTTGTTGTCAATGTGTTATTGTTCAGGATCCCCAAGTGTCCGTGTTCAACTGTATGTTTATCATTGTCCTGGGACTCAAAGGGGTTGATTTACTAAAGGCAAATAGACTGTGCACTTTGCAAAGTGCAAAATAAAATATATAAATGGTGCAGCGCTACGTCCCCGTCCCCGGCAGTGCGGTGTCCCCAGGTGAGCTCTTCTCCCCGGGCCCCGGACCTGTGACCCCCCGCCAGTCCAGCAGTGATAGCGGTTATTTTTGTATGTATTTTTAGTGCTGGCTGTATATTAGTAGCGCTGCACCATTTATATATTTTATTTTGGATTAAGGTATTTATTGGTACTTAGTAGGTGCTAGCAGCTTTGTTAGGACCATCTAAGCGCAGGGGCTTTTTTTCACTATATTTGCAAAGTGCAGTTGCACTGTGCAAGAGCGGTTGCTCCAGAGCTTAGTAAATGAGCAGAAGCTCTGCAGACTTCCAACATCCAATCACGTGCAAAGCAAAACACTTTTTTTCTTTTTTTCTTATTCTCTTTTATGTGATTGGGTGTTCTTTGCAAAGTAAAGCTTTACCTCATTTACTAAGCTTTGGAGCAACAGCACTTGCAAAGTGCACAGTCTATTTGCCTTTAGTAAATCAACCCCATAGTGTCATTGTGTCTTTGTTCTGAGAACCCAAGTGTCAATGGGTCATTGTTCTGGGACCCCAAAGTGCCAGTGTGTCATATTTCTGGGACCCCAGTTGTCAGTGTTGCATTGTTCTTTGGCCGTAGCGTGTCAGTGTGTCATAGTTGTTGGACCTCAGTTGTGTCAGTGTTCTGAACCCTTGCTTTCATGATGTCATTGTTCTGGGGCTCCCAACTATCAATTTGTCAATGTTCTACTGTTTATCAGTGTGTCATGCTAGGAGTTTATTGTATATAATATATAAAATATATGTATATATTGAATATATTTCAATGCAGGGGCGGACTGACCATTGGGAAACTCGGGCACTGCCCAAGGGCCCGGGGTCAGTAGGGGGCCCCATGAGATGTCCCTGGTACCTTTCATAGGCTTTTTTAGGTGTGATTTGAGTGTGGGCGAGAACACAGGGGCCCCATGACCCCCTTTTGCCCAGGGGCCCCATGAGTTGTCAGTCCGCCCCTGTTTCAATGTATTTAAAAGCAATACATATGACACCTCGTCTAATAGTCCCGCAAGAATCCCAGCTGTCACTTATAGCCCAATTCATCTTAAAATGGAACAGAGAAAATATATAAAAAAAATAAACTAAAACTATATAAAATATCTCAGTATTTATGCTGATAAAAGAAATGTACATTCATAGCAGGGATTGTAATCAGAAAATCTTTTGCATAGCATTTTTTATTTTTTTACATTTCAATGATCCTTATAGGAAGGGTTTTTGTAAGGCCTCCTCATCCACCCTTTCCTCTGTGCGGCTCCAGGCACAATAATACATTCCGCTGTCACTCTCAGTAATTTTCTCAGTCTTCAGTTTGAAGAGTGAGCCGCTGTTCCTCTCTCCAGTAAAATGATTGAGTGTTAGCTCATCCACCGAGCCTGTAGTCACCGATAAGGATATAAAAATGAGAGCGCCTCCTTTAAGTCCCTGTCTATACCAGTATATAGTGGGGACATCGTTCCCTGTCACAGTACATGATAGAGACACGGGATCCCCTGGCCGAAGGACCAGGAATGGTGGTACTTGTGTTATGGATTGGGACAAGGTGTAAGGAAGACAGATTAGGAGAATGATAAAACATCATTAGAGAGGACGCCAAGTGTCTCAGTGACACATTAAGATGAAATATTTCCTCTGGCTCTTTCCGGGAACCAGTTGCTCACTCCCACTTCCTCGTGGGTTCCCACCTTTCAAATCTCATGACTGCGAAGATACAATAGTAACAGTGTGCATTCTAATGGCAAACCACAAAATGTCTACCCAAGTTCAGAAACAGCTTTTACAAGTCAAAAAAGAGGTATAAGTATTATTTAAGTAATATAACCAGTAAGTGTCTTCTTTGAGCTAATCCTGTTACTGTAATAGACAGATAGCAAGACCACGAAGAAGGCAAATCGGTTACATTTTAAGTTGACAATCCACCCATGTGTAGTTCTCAATACCACGACCTCTACCCAAAACTGAAAACAACTCAGAAAAAGGTGTTGACTTGACAATATGTAAAAGGTCATTGTGGACTCAGGAAGGACCCTGTAGATCAGTGGTTCTCAACCTGTGGGTCGCGACCCCTTTGAGGGTCGAACGACCCTTTTACAGGGGTCCCCTAAGACCATCAGAAAACACATATTTCCGATGTGTAAAGAGCAGCTGCTGTGTAGAAAGCAGCTGCTGTGTTGAAAGCAGCTACTCTGTTAAAAGCAGCTACTGTGTAGGAAGCAGCGGTATTGGAGGTAAAACGACACTCATGAATTATAATTACTGGGTAAATAATTTTATGGTTGGGGGTCACCACAACATGAGGAACTGTATTAAAGGGTCACGGCATTAGGAAGGTTGAGAACCACTGCTGTAGATCCAATCTAGCTGGTCGTCTCTACTCACATCAGTTGGTAACTTAATCCAGGTCCAAAACAAGAGAGACACCATTTTTCAGCCTACTCTGACTTGTGCCTGTTATAGTACCTCTAGGGTCTGTGAAAGCACAGCCAAGGGCACAGCTTGGCCTTTCTATCTGTGGTGCATGTGTTGCAGAGATTTCAGGATTTCTATTATTTATGTCAGGTACTTGTATGGTGCCATCAATTTACACAGCACTTTACATATATATTGTACATTCACATCAGTCCCTAACCCTCAAGGGGTATACAATCTAAGGTCCCTAATATACATTCATACATACGCATAGTAGGGCCAATTTTAGACAGGAGCCAACTAACTTACCAGCAAGTCTTTAGAGCATGGGAGGAAACCAGAGTACCCAGAGAAAAACCCATGCAGGCACAGGGAGAACATGCAAACACCAGGCAGGTAGTGCTGTGGTTGAGATTTGAACCAACAACCTGAGTACTGCCATGTGGAAGTACTAACCATTTATCCAGTGTGCTGCCCTAGGACCTCCAGTACTCACGGGATCCCTGCTGAGCTGTTCAGGATTTCCAGAATTCTCTGAAACGATGTTGGGTTTGCCCTCTGACCAGGAGGGTATTTAAGCACCAGTCTTCAAAGCCGCTGTGCAATGTCCTATCGCCAGCTGAGAGGCAAAGTATTTAAAATACTTATCTGCCAGTTGCCCGTTTGTTGCTGACCCAGATTGACTACTCCCCACCTGTCTAGACCTCTGCTCTGACCTGACTACTCTCGTATTTTGCCTGCCTGAACCTGACTACTCTCTTGCTTGCTGCGTGTTTACCCCCTGCCTGAATGACCTGACTACTCTCTTGCCTGCCATCTGTCTTGACACTTGCCTAGACCTGACTATTCGGTGTCCTCCCCGCTGTTGTCAGTATTGGCTGCGAGACGGGGACTTCTGCATTGATAGTGAGCCTGAGCTGGTTTCCTGTGCATGGGCATTTGGCGGTTCGGACCTGGTGACGTCACCCGCTGTCGTGATTGGCAGTGGAGCCAACTTTATTGGTTTTTCTTGGGTGCGTTTATTTTTAGTATTCCCTCATCTGGCTTCATTCCCCTGCTAATTAGCACTTATATTTGATCTTTGACATAGGTTATACATCTCTAGCAGTTCAGGGGCATTCTTATTTATTGGGGTTAATGTACTAAAGTGCTGTCCACAATGGCAGCTGTGGATAGCACTGAAAACTTTATGCTAGGCATAAGAAATGCCTATAATAGTCCAATTGCACAAACATTTGGCCGAAATCCACAAAGCTCATGTTCCCTGCTAAGCTCTTACTCTGACTCAGCAGGAGGTGTATCGGACGTCTGCAGAGAAACAACTGATTCCACAGAGAGAGCAAAGGTCTTTCTCTGCAGTATTCTGGCAGGAAACAGGCTTTTCTACTCAGGCTATGACAGGGTGACAACACAGGAGCACCATTGGGAGACAGTTGTCACCCTATAACAGGGCCTGACCAAGGACCTCTATGGTTGGATCCCTGGGTATTATTTTAATGAAAACTGTAGATTTAAAAATATTGAAAACGTCTTATTAAATTATGTTAAGGCTTATATGAGATTTTACATCTGCTTTTTTACAAAATGTCTCAGTATAATACTGCTAGTAATAAAACCTGAAATGTATAGTCATAATAAATAGCATAGCAAAGATTTAAGCTTACAGCAAATTGGATCGTGCTTTGCTGGTTTTTTTTTGCCTTCCTCTGGATCAACTGTGGGTATAGGGATTATAACTTTTTTTTTATGGTTGAACTGGATGGACTTTTGTCTTTTTTCAGCCAGACTAACTATGTAACAATTATTTACAGTTTCAGGTACCTTTATTTCTCATTCCTTATCAAGCCCACAAAGATTTAAAACAGAAAAGATGTAACATGACTGAATTGCAGGTACCCTTCAATGCTTACATTTACCTTTAAATGCCTTTTCCAGGATCCCAAAAGTCTGCTGCATGCAAATCATATTGTTCCTGCCTGAAGTCGAGGTTTGTCCTAGCTCCCCAACAGGGGCAGACTGACCAGTTGGAAACTCGGGCACTGCCTGAGGGCCCGGGACAGTAGGGGGCCCCATGAGATGCCCCTGGTACCTTTTTCATAGGCTTTTTTGAGTTTGGGCAAGGACACAGGGGCCCCATTATCCCCTATTGCCGGGGCCCCATGAGTTGTCAGTCCGCCCCTGCTCCCCTATTCTTTCATGAAATTATTGGAACTCATCTTAGTATGATGGTGGGGCCCAGTAACTATTAGTAAGGCACGTGAAGGGAAGACCAACACTAACTCAAGGATATAAAGTCAGTATTTGCATCAGGTTTTGGGGTTCCACATGCAGTCAATGCAATGCTTCTGCTACTGTCATAGAAAAGGGAGATACATTCCATACACCAACCCCTAAAAGTCAAAATAATAATTGGATGTATGGCAAGCATTAATGCTGCAAACATACGTGATACAAGAAGCCACCATTCCAGAATTCCTTGAAGGTATTTACTTAAAAATGTTTGTAATAGACCACTAAAGACTGACATTTCTGGGACTCATGGGTCCCCTCTATCAAGGTGCAAGATATATGGCTTCTTGTATTTTAGTTCACAAGACCAATGCTCTGGTATTCCTAAAGGTTGAGTTCAATTTTTTGTAGTAGACCCAGACAAAGGCTGAACCCATGAACTTCAATTTACAGAACCAATGCCTTACCACTTGGCCACTTCACCTGCCCGGGTATGGGTAAAAGTTAAAGTGTATCTCTAGGTAAAACCTTTTTGTTTTATTTTGGATAAAATGGGGATGGGTTAGATCCTTAGTCAAGTTTTTATGGTGTCTGTGTCCCCAATGGGAAGGTACATCATTCTATTTATACTGGTAACCATTGTCACTGAAAAGGAAAGTCAAGGGGAGTCCAAAATGTTAGAGTTGTCCTAAGAACAAGGGGAAGATCTTCCAATGGAGACTATTCTTTAAGAGGGAAATTCCCCTTTAAGAGATTTCCTCTAACTTCTTGATGTCTCTGTATGATAGGAACCCTTCTCTACTCCATCCAAACTAAAAATTACATCTACTATATATTTTAAGCACACCTCGCACAATAGATTCCTCAGGCACAGATGGGGCTTGAACCCATGATCTTTGGTTTACGAGACCAATGCCTTACCACTTGGCCACTGTGCCACATGTCTGAGGTTTGTCTCATGATTGATCATGTTTAAACACTTATATCCAGATGCCTGTGATATTTCTACATCTGGCTGTATCTTTTTTAGATTATGTTGTGTATGTGTGTGTGTGGAAATGATTTAGTGTGTGGACTAAGTGTCTGGTGATTATCTGTTCCTGTCCTAATTAATTATGCTAGCTCTGTAGTGCGCGCACTTAGAGAAACTCACACTAACACATATTTGGTCTGTGAAAACTTCTAATTTATTGGAATGAAAAAGTGAGTTTATATATGGAAAATGAAGCAAAAATCACGTGAGAGCAGCATTAGGATTATACAGGGTGCGGCAACATAACTTCCTTTTTTCAAAACGCAATAAAACCCATTTTATGAATCAGAATTGTTTTTATTGTCTTTAATAATGTAGGTACATATCTAAAAGTTCTGTTTTACACAGTTTTGAAAATCATATCAGGTAGGTGACGACCCCCCCCCCCCCATTGTCCATACACTGAATAAGCGATTTCTGGCGTTTTTCATGACCCTTACCAGCATAGCAGCGGGTATGTTGGCAATTTCTGCGCGGATGTTGGCCTTCAGGTCTTGTAGGGTCCTTGGACGGTTTACATAAACGCGGGGGGATTTCAAAAAACCCCACAAAAAAAAAGTCGCAAGGGGCCAAATCGGGGGGGAGCGGGCTGGCCACTCCAAATCGCCCATTATTGAGATGATGCGCTCCAGGAAGTGTTCCCTTAAAACAGCCATTGATGCTCAAGAAGTGTGAGCCGTTGCTCCGTCCTGTTGGAACCAAATGTCCCCTAAGTCCAATTCATCAAGTCGTGGAAAAACAAATTGTCTGAACGTAGTGACCCACGTAACAATTGATTTCCGG